GGAAAGGGTGCTCAGGCCTTGGCAGGGGCTGCCCAGGGAGCTTTGGAGTCCCCATCCCTGGAGGTGTCCCAGGAAGGGCTGGAGGTGGCACTGAGTGCTCTGGGCTGGGSACAAGGTGGGCATCGGGCACAGCTGGSACTCCATGGGCTGGGAGGGCTTTTCCACCCTCAGGGATTCTGGGATTCTGCAAAAGCAGGAATTGGTTTCTATCAGCTCCTGTAGCACACCACTGTCTCTGCAGATAGTATTTAATAATAAACATTTTGATCACACACAAATTTCAATCATTTCTAGATGCTCTCAGCTGGAAGATCCCTGAAATCTTTTGCTGGCTGTACAAAGAGGGGAATCTCTCTGCAGAGGAGATGGCTCAGACCTTTCCCTGCGGGATCGGGGCTGTCTTGGTGGTGCAGAAGGACCTGGCCCAGCACGTTCTCCAGGACATCCAGAGGCATCAGGAGGCCTGGCTGATTGGGAAGGTGGTTGCCCCTTGTCACACAGGTGAGCAGGTGTCCTCCCTGTGGGACTGAACCAACCCCTGCTCTGCAGTTTGTGCAGTTCACACGATTTCCCTGTTGTTTCACTAATCTGGAGGCTACTGGATGGCTCCAAACCCATCTTGTAGTATCGAACAAATAGCAGTGAGCTCTTGTTTCAGAGCAGCAGCACCTGGATAACCTCTTCCCCCTCCCTGAGGCTTCARGAAATCCCTCTGCTGCCCCAAACATGAGTGGATATTTTACCACACTCGTGGCCATCAGCTCCCCTCCTGTCCAGCCCCTTCCCAGCTCACACAGATCCACTCAAAGGTTGAGGACAGGCCACAGCTTTGTACAGCCATGTGTGCTGGTCACCCTGAACCCTGGTGTGTCACTGGTTGACATCCAGCAGGATGTGAGCCAAAATCCYTCCAGGAACCCAGCAGTTTGGGCAGCCAAAATGTCACCTCAGCTCCATCAGCATCATTTTGCAATGTAAGAGGTATAAAAAATGGGATTAATCCTTGAGAAGGCCWCACCTGGGCCTCTGTGAACAACTCTGTGAGCAGGTAACACCAGAAACCAGCACAGCTCCTGAAATTTGGCTTTTTCAAGCACTGAATCCCTTCGGAGCTCCATCAATGCCAGTATAAATTCATTGCTGCCACAATTTCTTGTGTTGAAACATTGTTAATTAGCTACACAAAGTCAGTTTAGAAGGAAAGGTAAAGCCTAACACTTTGTGTGTTTGGAGCAGGCTCTCACATTGAAGTGGAGAACCTTGCAGAGGCTCTGCAGCTGAGCAGCCCCCAGCAGCTGCTGAGCAACACCACTGCCCAGAGCCAGCCCCAGCCCAGAAAGAGAAAGGTGAAGGTGGCTGTCCTTGTCTCTGGAGCAGGTGAGCTGTCCYTTGTCCTCACACAGGAGGGGCTGGGTGCAGGTGTGTCAGCGGAACCCACAGACCCTTCCAAAGGCAGGGCTGCACTTTGGCTCCAAGTCGAGGAGCTGTGCTGCACCACTCATAAAGGGAGCTTTAACAATGCCCCCACCCTCAGAGCTGTTTGTGAGCAGCAGATCTTTGTCAGAGCAGCAGCTGAGAGCCCCTCCCCAGGCCCTGGGTGCTCACCTGTCCCCACCCTTTGCTCTCTCCCTGCTGGAGGCTCAACGCTGTCAGCGCTCATTGGCTCGGCCAGGGAGCCGGGCAGCTGTGCCCAGCTGGTCCTAGTCATCTCCAACAAATCTGGAGTGGAGGAGCTACGGAATGCAGCCCGGGCTGGAATTCCCACCAGGGTGAGGATCCTTCCCTTTTCCTTTCCCYTCCCCRCTGCTGAGCCCAGGGGTGGTCAGGAAATGCTTGCTGAGTGCTCCGGTTTCACTTCAGTGTGAGATTTTCTCTGTGATCATGGATGGAGCACAGAGCTGCAGAGCTGTGAGTCCTCACTGGGCTCTGGAGCCTKTCCCAGCTCGGCAGAGGGTGCTCCATCCCACAGTTGGGGAGGGATTTGAATGGATGATTTGGGTCTGAGACTGCAGCCCGGGAGCCTCAAACTTCGGCTGAAATCACTTCACGTTCTACAAAGAACAGAAATGTGTTGTCTCCAGAGCTTATCCCTTCTTAGAATCCGAGAACCCCAAACTGGTTTAGGGTTGGAGACACCTC